ACGCATGGGGGGCCAGTTGCTTGTCTGAGCCTCCTTGTTCATGTGTTTTTATTACAGGGTGGGTTTGGTATACTAAATATTGATCGGATGGGATAGGATTGTGGGTAATTGTTATATTTTATGTTTGGTGTATATTGGATTGGATTGAATAATTTACTTTATTTTGTATTCGATAAATATGGTTAGGATATAAATTACTTTGGGTTTAAAAAAAATAATTAACTTGATTTAGTAAAAAATCTAGGTTGATCTGAAATAAAATACTAGTAAAAAATTCATTGATTTATTTTAAATTTTTCTTGTTAAAATAAAATTATTTTGATTCTATTATTTTAAATTTGGATCAAAATAAGTTAATTCTTTTGACTTATGACCTAGGTTCTACCTTGTGTCAACTTCTAATTCAAGTTTTTAAAATATAATAATAATTACTTTTATTTATATGTCGACTTATAATAGTTTGTGTTAACTCTTTTTACTTGTAATTTAAGTCTGGTTTCAGATTGATCTCCGAATCAAGTTTTAAAATGTGATGATAATCAATTTTATTTTTATAATAACTCGGTTAAAGTTTAATTTGACTCGTAACTTTAACTTTATTTTGGATCGATCTCTAATTGAATTTTAAAATTATAATAATAAATATTTTTATTTTTATATTAATCCTAATTAATAGTTGGATTAGCTCGGCTTGTAATTAATATTTTATTATTAATCTATCACCTAGTTAAAATTTAAAATTATAATAATTTTTATTTTATTTTTATATTAATCTGAAATAATACTTGTAAATTAACATTGCACAAATAATTGTGCAAGCTGTCTTATAAAAGTTTCTCTACTAGAACAACTTTAATATAATAAAAAATATTTTTATACTATTCAAAAATACATCTAATAGCTTCACAAAAAAAATTTATCATGTGCAGTCTTTCTTTATTCGGTATATGAATATCCACCACTTGCACATCTAGTCATGGAGAGAACTATATATATATATAAAAAAAAAAAAAAAAAAAAACCTGGCTGAAAAGTCAAGGGTGCAGATGGGGAACGGACCGACAAGCAGTAATTTTGTTGGGTCACGCGGTCCGTCGACATAAATGCCCCCACCTGCCTTTTTATTGGCCAATAAAGAATAGCACTATCATGGTTTCGTTCCATCATCCTTCCAGCCTAAAATTCATCATCGTCTTTAATTGCAGCTCCGCGCAATAATTAAAAATGATGGGATGGCTTGATCGTTTAAGGCAAGCATTCTTCTTAAGCGGTTTATTTTTACATTTTAAAAATTATTTTTGACAAGTTTTAAATTTATTTTATTTTAAATTAATATATTTTTTATATTTTTAAATCATATCAGCTGATATTAAAAATAATTTTTAAAAAATAAAAAAATATTATTTTAATATATTTTTAAATAAAAAATACTTTAAAAAATAATTAAGCCATAAAATTTATCTCCTATGCGATGAAAACTATAATTTAAATAAAAAGGTATATTTTTTTATGCTTCGTATAAACACAACACAGCTAAACAGGCTCTTAATGTTGAAATCTCAAGTCAGGCTATCAAAATCAAATTTCCACGAGTTCTTTAACCTTGTTAGAAGGACCCCAAAACAAATCTCCAGTGTGTGAAAACTGGCCCAAGAATGGAAAAACGTTCAATGAAGGTGGATGATAGTGCCCGGAGCTATTTCTTGGGGTCATCAGATGGTGATATTTCCTCACCCTCCGGAAACCGGTGGGGAACCGGCTTAGCTAGTCGCTTTCAAAGCTATAATACCTTGTCAGGTAATCCGTGAGAAAGAAGACCATCATTCACACTGGTTCCAGTCTTTCCTCCCAGGAAAATTTTTTTTAGCATAAAGATATTTCTTTTCTTTTGGTACTGTTACTGGTTTTGTGGAAGTTTATCTACGAGAATATTACACTTGAAAAGTAAGTCTGATGGTAAATAAATTTATTTTTTTTAATATTTTATAATTTTAATTTTTTTCTCCGCACATACCAAATATTTATAAAAAACTAAATTTATAAGTTTGCATTACACCGTGGATTAAGACAAAAAAAAATATTCAAACAACACAAATTTATTTTAAAAAAGTAAAAAAGTTTAGGAATCAGGATATAAATCTGCCCGAGTCAAACAAGTTGGCATAATTTAATTAGATAATAAAAAAAAAAGACAACAACAATAAATGAATCAATTTAAATAAAAAGAAGTTTTTATAAGAACCTTAACAAAAAAAGGGACTATCAAAATTAAATAACAAAAATGACAAAACTCAAATATTAAACCCAACCTGAAATAACATGATTAAAAAAAAAAAAAAGCTAACTTGAACTAGCATATCAAATATATAGCTCAGGTCATGAGATCTATATAAATTAATAAAAAAATAACAAAGTTAATTTTGAATAAATATAACATAGAAGAATAAAATAAAAAAACTTATTAAAAAATAATCTAGAAAAGCAAATTGAGCAAGCACATCAAACTCCACGACCTGGATCTTACAAAAGAAATAATCAAATAAAAAACATACTAGGAAAGATAACAAGACTTAATATCAAGACAACTTGATGTTGGAGGAAAAGACTAGAAAAAAAAATCAAATTAAAAAAATATCTTAAAAAACTTGAAATAACCTATCAAACTCGAAGTTTGAATAACGGGATTGAGGTAAAAAAATAGAAAATAAAAAAAAATCACAAAACTCAAATTCAAAAAAAAACGTGAAAGATTGGAATTGAAAAGGAAAAATACTGGAGAAAAATAAATTTTTTAAAAATATAAATATTAACTCGAGTTAAGCTTCAAAACTCGTGACTCAAGGTACGAAGCCAATATCACTCCATCAAGAGTAAACATAGAGTTAGATTTTCAACCAGCATCTACATGGAAGGATGAAAAAAATCAACCTTGTAAAATAACCTAAAAAATAATGAAAAGATGAGAATCAAATTCAAAATGAAAAGAAAAACAAAGGACAACTTATATTTTATGATTGAATGTTGAAATTAAAAATATAAATTAAATTGCAAAAAAGAACCCAAGAAAAAAAACAATAACAACAATAATAATTAAATTGAAAAGGAAAAAAAACAATCTTTAATGTCTTAACTAAGAGTAAAATTAAAAAGACATTTAATTTTTATAAAGAGCTCAAAACACAAATTTAATAATAATAAAAAAAAAAAAATGGAACACAACCTACCATGACAAAATTCATGCACCCTTTCATGTGAAAGAGAACAATGTGATTTCTCCATGATCACTAAAAAAAGTAAAGTTTGGTTATTAGAGGTACTCGTTGCTGAAACATTATCGTTGTAACTAATTTTGCGACACATGTATTGTGTACAACAACTAATTTTACATTGTTTATTAATGATAGTCTTTTTATTTGTTCTGACATTAAATTTAATCCCTAAATTTCTAATTATTCTAAATTAAAAGAATTGAAATTATATTTCAACTAACTGAGCATCAATTGAGCATCTAACTACTTATCAATATTGCAAAAACTCTATACAAAGGAAACCACAACAAAATATTAAGTCAATTCACGAGCAAAAATAATAATAAAGAGGAAATGATCAAGTGGTTTTTTAGAAAAGAACATTTTAAAAAAACAAAAATATCCGACTTGATTTCCTAACGTTACAAGATTAAAAGGGCCCGATAATTTTCAGAGTCTCAAATTCAAGCCACAAAACTTTAATTACTATGAAATAATAAAATAAAAATATATTTTAGAAAATCAAGTACCAGCTAACTCACAAAATATTCCCTAGTGTCTCAAGGTCCCTATTTACAAACGAAAAAAACAACGCACAAAGCCTCCACCAGCATCGTTGCCATGTTAATGGGCCAAATGTTTCTTAAAAAACCACCAAAACATAAAATACTGAAGGAAAGAAAGAAGAAAGAAGCAGTGTACACTAATTTCACAAACAGGTTTAGTTTTTTTATTTCAATATAATTTTTCATTTTAATATAAATTTCAAAAAAAATATCTTAAAAAACACACCGGTTAACTTGCAGTTCAAAAAAATAAAAAAAATCAAGGCAGTCGACTCCCGTAGCGCGTTATTCCTGATAATTTCCCGGGTATGTACGACGCGTCAAACCAGTGTCCCTATTTAACCCTCTTATTCTCATCTGTTTATTAAATTCCAGTAATAACGACAAAAATATTAAGGTCTGCTTTGTACACTCAGCTAAACAGGTATGCTAGTCTGTCTATTTTCCACCACTTGCACAACTTTAAGATTTTATTTATTTTTAAAAAGGACATCGTGAGGCACGTGTTGGGGTATGCGAGACAGCGGAAAAAACTGCTTTGCATAGTATTTTTTTATTTAAATATATTAAAATAATATATTTTTAAATATATTTTTATATCTACCTGTTAAAATATAAAATAATAATTTAAAACAACAAAAACAATTTTTTAAAAAACACAGCCCAATCACCGCGCAAAACACCCTCTTATACACGAACAAAAAGCAGGTATAATCCACTCTATCTTATTTGTGTACAACAGTGATGCATAGTGCATAACAAAAGCAGTTGAGGTTTTCTTCACTACAAAACGAAAACTGGGTTTCTTTAATTTTTTTCTCTCTCCTTGATTGAGGTTCGTATGATCGTCTCAACAATATATCATTAAAAAAAACATTTCTGTAGTGAAAAATTAAACTAAACATTATTACAACTGATTAAAAATACCTTGACAATTGCCAGAATCCAAGGAAAAAACGAAAGAAAATAGTAATAGATCCAGCTACCCAACAAGCGTCAAGTAACCTAACCACGTGTATAATTTTATCTAGCGAAGGGATAAGAGTGTGAGGGAGTAATGGGTTCTCATCACAGCCAAAACCAAACCCAATACGCCAAAGCCAACTGTCTAAACCGTGACCCCATCAGAAAAACGAAAGGGTCAATCTGGACCTTCACCAACTAATTTAAATGGAAACCATTCGCACATCAATACTCTATGCACAGACAAGACACGAACAACACTCAAGACACGAACAACACTCTCTCCTCTTACATACAAGAAAAAATAACACGAACTGCAGTCCTCAAAACTCCAAAAAGCGAAGAAAATTTCTCCAATGTCTAAACAGACCTACAGAGTTTGCTTGTGCTTTAGCAGGAGGTTCAAGCTTGCAGTGGCAGAGGCACCGGAGGAGATCAGGGCCTTGTTTAATCAATACTCGGAGAATGGCATCATGACCGACAATCATCTCCACAGGTTCTTGATCGAGGTCCAAAAACAAGAGAAGGCTACTCTTGAGGAAGCACAAGCCATCATTGAAAGCCTCAAACATTTGGCCATTTTTCACCGTAAAGGGCTCAATCTTGAGGCCTTTTTTAAGTATCTTTTTGGTGATAATAACCCTCCTCTTGATCTTAAACTTGGGGTAATTTTTGTTTTCTTACCTTTCTTTGTTGAGGCTAAGTTCTGGTTCTTTAACGACTTATGTTAAATGGCTATTTCTTTTTGGTTAAATCTGGTACTTATCATAAATGCTGGGATCACTTGAAATAGCTAGTCAGACTCTTTTTTCCCCTTAAGTTTTTGCTCTAGTGACTAAAATAGGAAGTTTGTCGGGTTTTTTGGTTCTAAATTGGGAAAAACTCAAGATTATGATTTTGACTAAATGGGTAGTAATTAGCTGCATTTATCAAAGTAATTCATGATCCAGTTAGTGCTATTGGTTAATTCTCTTTGAAACATATGATTAGATGCAGCAAGTTCCATGGGATGCCTGAAAATGTCCATTTGGCATTTGACTTCTTTTATTTAACATTTCTTCATGAGTGGAATGTCTTTCATTTTCTCCAAGAAACGACCAGGAATGTAAAAATAAAAGTTTTCGACTATTGCCTCTTTGTCATGGTTTATTTTTTAACTGATTTATCTGTTTTTTTTTTCGTGGAATCACTGCTTTGTTTCAATCTCACTTAGATATCTGCGTTCTTTTGTATTTGCTGTTCTATTGCATTCTCTGGTTTCAGGCGCACCATGATATGACAGCTCCCATTTCACACTATTTCATTTATACCGGCCACAATTCATATCTAACTGGGAATCAGCTCAGTAGCGATTGCAGCGATGTTCCCATCATAAATGCACTGAAGAAAGGTGTGAGAGTAATTGAATTGGATATATGGCCAAATTCCAACAAGGATGATGTGGAGGTACTTCATGGGAGGTATGCTGTTATTGTTCTAATGCTGGAATCTCTATTGTGGGTACTAAATGATGTGTAATTGTTACTGCAAAAGGAAAATGAAGCAGGAGCTAAAATTATTGATACAGCAACTTAAACGCAAAATTTTTCTTAAAGTTTTGAGCTTGATCTTGAGTAGGTGATTTGAATCATAAAGAAGCTTTGTTGTGTTTTTTTATTTCTTGACAGAGGATCCATACGAGCTAATTTGTTAAATTCTTTTACATGATGCAGTATCCTTTAACGCATAAACTTTGCCTTAATTGACTTTTTTAATCGGGTATCGGAAATTTCTATGAACTTCAAAATATTTTTGAAGCATCCTTCCCTGGTTTTTAACCAGTGGTACATTTTACTTTGTTTAGGACTTTGACAACTCCGGTGCAACTTATCAAATGTTTGAGGTCAATCAAGGAGCATGCTTTTACTGCATCTGAATTCCCTGTTGTTATAACTCTAGAAGATCACCTTACTCCAGATCTCCAGTCTAAAGTGTCTAAGGTGAGTCTTTCGTATTTTGTAGGGATTTGCAGCTCTCACGGGCTAATGATTTACTATTCTTTCAATGATTTCTAGATGGTCACTCAAACATTTGGAGACACACTGTTTTCTCCTGGCTCAGAATGCTTGAAGGAATTCCCTTCCCCTGAGTCATTGAAGAGACGTATTATCATATCAACAAAACCGCCAAAGGAGTACCTTGAGGCAAAGGAAATTAAGGATAAGGAGAGTGATTCCCAGAAGGGTAATGCTGCTCCTGATGAAGAAGCTTGGGGGAAAGAAATCCCTAATCTTAAAGGCTCTGATGACAAGGTATGTGAAGATGCTTATTAGTATTTAGCTCGCCAGTTTTTTCTAATCTCATTCCTGACCAATCTTCTCGAAGCATAATGAACTGGATGAAGATGATAATGATACCGAGGAAGATCCTGGTGAAGGAGACCGCAAGTTGCCGCATGATTTAGCACCAGAATATAAACGTTTAATTGCTATTCCTGCTGGGAAGCCTAAAGGTGGATTAGAAGAATGTTTGAAAGTGGATCCTGATAAAGTGAGGCGTCTTAGCTTAAGTGAGCAACAACTTGAAAATGCTGCAGAGACCCATGGAAAAGAAATTGTCAGGTATCAGCAAGCCCTAAAGCATTCTGTTGAAAGAACTCTAATCTGGAGAAGTACATGTGCCTTTATCTGCTGCTTGAGACCTTGTTGTCATGAATGCTATTTATTTGTTTATGTGCGTTTGATGGATCGATGCTCATGGTTGAGAATGTATTTATTGGTGGAGTTTAAGGATTTGAATGACTTAAAAAAATGGCTTTTAATATTTTATGTGGCGGCATTTATTTAGTCCTGGCTTCTAATTTTTGACTCCTTTGCAGGCATTATCTATTCCATTATTATGCCAGTAATAAGCTGATGTGCTTCATAACTATCGCCTATGCACACTTTGTACTTGGATCATTAGAAAACCAAGTTCCATAATGTCTAATGAATGACTTGCTATACAGGTTTACCCAGCGGAATATACTCAGAGTGTATCCAAAGGGTATTCGTGTGAACTCATCCAACTACAACCCACTAATTGGATGGATGCATGGTGCTCAAATGGTTGCTTTTAATATGCAGGTTTGTGTTCCAAAATCCAAGGATTGAGTTCCCAATGCATAAACTTTGAGGGCAGAAAGTGAAGCTGTCTGGATTTGGTGTTACATCATTGTAGTTTTTAAGAGTTTTGGCCTTTTGTTTGTAAATGGATTTGCTTAATTGAATAATTTTATTCAAAATTGTGTTTAAAAAGTACTAGACTAATAGAAGAGAAAATTGTGACAGAGGCTTTCTTGAGTATAGTTATCTTATACGACACTAGCTGACTGGTGCATTAAATATATTATTGTTCTTTCAAATTTGTACAAGTATGTGCCTCCACCAAATACTAAAAGCAGGTCTTTCATTCCAGGGACATGGAAGATCACTCTGGATGATGCAAGGAATGTTCAGAGCCAATGGTGGGTGTGGTTTTGTGAAGAAACCGGATTTTCTTCTGAAGTCTGGTCCAGATGGCGAGGTATTTGATCCCAAAGCCAAGTTACCTGTGCAAAAAACTTTGAAGGTGAGTGCTTTGTTATCATTCACTTTGATTGGAATGGATTTTTCCTGGATTTCCATTTAAAACGCCCATATAATTTTCACTTCTGCATTTGCTTTTGCGTTGATTAGTAATTGTAATTTTCTCATTGCTGAATAGGTGAAAATATACATGGGTGAAGGATGGTATTATGATTTCCATCACACACATTTTGATGCATATTCCCCACCAGATTTCTATGTGAGGGTAAGTGGATACAATTTTCTGGTCTCATTTTCTTCTCTTCATAAGTGGCCATATCCAAAATAGTTTTGTCTTATCGCCCAAAACCTCTTGATCTGGTCGTGTCCATGACATTATCCTCATTGAGATTTGTTGTAACCCAAGTCTTTACCATGACACCGTGTTTGTCCTAGCTGTTACGTGTTCCCTGGATTTTTGCAGTGTGCTTCTGGTTCCATTTTGCTCAGCTCTTTTTGCGCCCCCCCCCCCTCCAAGAGCTATCTGAACCAGACCATGAAAATAATGGATAATCAAGTGCAATTCAACTTTATTGTGTGCAGGTTGGGATTGCTGGGGTCCCTGCAGATACCGGGATGAAGAAAACAAGGACTCTGGAGGACAATTGGATACCTGTTTGGGATGAGGAGTTTGAGTTTCCATTAACTGTTCCAGAATTAGCTTTGCTCCGGATTGAAGTTCATGAGTATGACATGTCAGAAAAGGATGACTTTGGTGGTCAAACATGCCTTCCTGTGCGGGAGTTGAGAGAAGGGATTCGAGCACTTCCACTCCATGACCGCAAGGGAGAGAAATACAATTCTGTAAAGCTCCTTGTGCGACTCGAATTTGTTTGATACCAATGGCAGTTCCATGCCAAGTATAAAACTACGGAGCAATGTAAAAATCTGTGAAGTCCATTTGTTGTTGTGAGCTGGTGTGATTATGTGATTTTTGTTGCCGTGTGAACATAATAACATCTGCCTGCTGCTTTCCATTGGCTGTTCGTTTTGATGTACTATAATCTTGTGAAAAATGTGACAGATCATATATCATATTTATTTCTCTATGATGATCTAGCAAGTATTTTTGTAGTTGCCTCAAGACAATAAGATCGTTAAACTGTGATGTGGGCAGCATTGAATTCCCAAGACAGCCATCTTGTTTCTTGTCATTGGTTCCCTTTGATGCAAAAAAAAATTCCAAGTCAATCTTGTTTCCTATTTCCAGTCTGTTTTCCAAGTGGTCACCTATTTGACCAAAGTTTTCACTTCTTCAATAAAAGAATTGTTACAAGTAACAGCATGCATGGCTTTGTTCCTAAGGCACAAATGAGGTCAACCCTAAACACATTAGAGATGAGATATTCGATCACATTTGCAATAAAGTCAATAGGGAAGGATTTGAACTGAAGTACGACTAAAATTTAGAAAGAGGTACCCTATAAGGGTCAGCCCAGACCCAACAATAGTGTAGTGTAGTGGGATGCTATTCCGTCATACTTGTGTAAGGAAGCAGACAATTGATATGTGACAAAACAAATTAAGGGCTTGTCACAGAGATGAAACCCATTATGATAACCATACCTGTCCATTAGATCTGAGTTATAGCCGTAGGGAAGCAAGCGGTCCAACAAACAGTCCAGTCCTGAGCCCAACATTCCAAAACCTGAAACCATTGTCACGCGAGCGACTTTCATTACCCGCCCTCAATTTGTTCTTCCATCTCCAGCCAAATCAAATCCATCACCCCTGAAATCGGAAAATGTCCTCCGCCCTTGGCTACCACCATCACAACCACCTGCAACAACAACAAAAACCCTTCTCCGACTCCGATTCCTACTCCGATTCCGACTCCGACACCACCAACAGCCAAAACCAGCACTCCGCAGATCTCACAAACTCAATCTTCAAATCCTACTTCGAACACACCAACCACCAATCCTTACAACCAACGCAACACGACCTCACCAAAATCAAATCCTTCCTAAACTCCTCCTCCTCCGGCGCTCTATCATGTCTCATCTGCCTCGAACGCATCAAAACTTCCGATCCGACCTGGTCTTGCACTTCTCTCTGCTACGCCGTTTTCCACCTTATCTGTATCCAATCCTGGGCTCGCCAAGCCTCCGATCTCTCCGCTCTTCGAGCCTCCACGCGACTCCCTATCTCCTCTGATAAAGCCGCTGAATCCTCCACCTGGAATTGCCCTAAATGCCGCTCTGATTATTCTAGATCTGAAATCCCTAGAAATTACCTCTGTTTCTGTGGCAAAGTAGAAAATCCACCAAGTGATCCTTGGATTTTACCCCATTCTTGCGGTGAAATCTGTAACCGTCCGTTGAAGAATAACTGCGGTCATTTCTGTTTGCTACTTTGCCATCCCGGTCCCTGCCCATCTTGCCCGAAACTTGTCAAAACGACATGTTTTTGCGGCAAAACGACGGATGTTAAGCGTTGCGGTTCCAAATTATTTTCTTGTAACAATATTTGTAATAAATCATTAGATTGCGGGATTCATAGCTGTAAAAAAATTTGTCATGATGGACCCTGCCCGCCGTGTAATGCCCGCGGGGTTTATAAATGTTCATGTGGAAGGAAAGTTGAGGAGAGGGAGTGTTGTGAGAGAGAATTTAGATGTGAGAATCCCTGTGAGAAATTGTTAGCCTGTGGAAAACATGTGTGTGAGAGGGGGTGCCATTTTGGGGAGTGTGGAGATTGTCCTCTTCAGGGGAAGAGAGCATGTCCATGCGGGAAGAGACTCTATGAAGGAATGGCTTGTGATATTGTTGTGCCGCTTTGTGGTGGTACCTGTGATAAAATGTTGAGTTGTGGTTTCCATAAGTGCCACGAGAGATGTCATCGAGGGCCATGCATTGAGACTTGTCGAATTGTTGTCACCAAGTTGTGTAGGTGTGGGGGGATGAAGAAAGAGGTAAAAACTTTATTTTTGTCCCTTTCTTTTTAATCCAATTTAGTGCTTTATCAATGATTACAGTTAAATTGTATTCAGTATTGCAACGGAGATACTGGATAATTGGATGTAATGTAATTCGTACTAGTTCAGTCATTTGTAGTGAACTGAAAATTTTACTTTTATTTTTCCATTTATTCACTGTGAGTTCAAAATTGGGGAGATTTAACTGAATTTAGATTAGGTTCCTTGCTATCAAGATTTGGCGTGTGAGAGGAAGTGTCAAAGAATGAGAGATTGTGGACGACATGCTTGTAAACGACGCTGCTGTGATGGGGACTGTCCGCCATGTGGAGAGGTGCAATTTGTAGTACCTGATTGCTTCACACTCCTCATTTTTTTTATTCTGAAATTCAATAAATGTTTGAAATTTCAGATTTGTGGCAAGAGGCTTCGGTGTAAGAATCACAAGTGTCCTGCCCCGTGCCATCGGTATGCTTGTCCTTTTCTTGGTTCACTTGCATTTCTTATATGCAAGAGGATGATTTAAAATAAAAAAGATGAGATGCAAAGTAGTTTTGCTATGCCACTGCATTTTAGAACTCCTCAGGCACAATTCATTTGTTTGAAATGTCTTTGATTGAGCTTCTGAGACTGTGGATCAGTCTCACAATATACTGTAGACTGTGGTATTGTTCCCAGTTAGCTAATGAGATGTTATGTTTTATGGGTATTTTTGTGTCTAGGCAATGACTTGATGGTTGGTTTTGTTCTTGTAGAGGTGCCTGTTCTCCTTGTCCTGTAATGTTTACAATTTCATGTGCTTGTGGAGAGACTCATTTTGAGGTAAGTGTTTTGCTTTATGGATATCTTTTTTAATTTCTAATCAGGACTGGCATTTAGATTATCTGAATTCACAATTTAAAGATCTCCGAATCAATCTATAGCAATTTATTTTCTGGCAAAGTTGTAAGCTTATATATAGAACCCTGTCTAGGAATTAACTTCTTTCTGTTTTAATGTAACTAGAATAGAGCCTTGATAGATTTTACAAACCCTTCGAATATTGAATTTCCTTTCCCTTTCTTGCTTCGTTTATTAATACTTAACCAGTTGTGTTTGGCCCAACAGTACTCTCTGTGTCAAAGCAATGGCAGGGAGTATGACTTGGGCTCAATCCTTGCCTTCACCATTGGAAGAAACCAAACGAAAATGCTAACACCTACACATTAATCAGTATTTTGTTATGGATTTTCCTTCAGGTTCCCTGTGGCACTGAGAAAGACCAAAAGCCTCCAAAATGTCGTAAATCATGTGGAATATCTCCTTTATGCCGACATGGATCAGATTCTAAGGTAAGAATAGGTGTATATTTCTGGTTGATGCTGTTTAGGTGCTCTGTTTTATCGAAAACATATGAAATTGCTGTGGTGATTGAACAGCTGATGCTAATAGTGGCATTCTTTATACTTGGCTGTTCATTGGTCTAAATTTTGACTTCTCTTTAGTAATCCTTTACATGTACTTGTAATTCTGATTTAAGAGGAGAGACAAATGCTGTTGCTATTTCACGATCCTTAGCATGCTTTGCTGGAGATTATTTAAGAAATTCTGATCTGTCATTTTGTCCAGCCACACAAATGCCATTATGGGGCGTGCCCTCCTTGTCGATTGCTTTGTGATGAAGAATACCCATGCAGTCATAATTGCAAATTAAGGTTTATGGAATTTCAAATTAGAGAATGGTTTCTCAAGATTTTTCTTTGGTCGGTAATTCATGAAATCATTCTATCCTTATATTTTTTTTCTGTTGTGGTTCAGGTGCCACGGCCCTAGACCACCTCCTAATCCAGATTTCACATTGAGGCCAAAGAAAAAGAAACCAAATCATCAGAGTGAAAGTACACCAGGAACCCCATGCCCTCCATGCCCTGAACTTGTTTGGAGGCCATGTCTTGGCCAGCACATTGGAGCAGAGAGAATGGTTTTTTTTCAATTATCTAGTGGCTCAATAAATTTTCTTCCTTTTTTCCTTTCTCTGTGTTGGGTGGCTGACCTATTTTGGTTGCTCCTCATTTCAGATGGTCTGCTCAAACAGAACCCAATTTTCCTGTGAAAATCTGTGTGGGAGCCCTCTTTCTTGTGGTAATCATTATTGTACAAAAACTTGCCATGCACTGAAGAGCCAGTCTTCAACTTCATTGGTTCAACATCAAAGAAGCGAGTCTTGTGAAGAGTGTCATCTTCCTTGTGAAAAGGTGATAAATTATTGCGATGCCATTCTGTTGTTTTCCATTTGATTTTTCTTATTACCAATATTTTTATTCATTTTAAATTTTTCTTGTCTTGGGTTCAGAAGATGTAAACAGGGTGTAATTTTATTATTTGTTGGTGCACCAGAGATGTTTCATCTTAGCATCATTGTATGTTTTTTGATGTTTTTGAGTTATATCTCATTTGTTCAGGAACGGAAACCTGCTTGTCGACATTCTTGTCCTCTACCATGTCATCCTGGAGACTGTCCCCCTTGCAAAGTTCTTGTGAAAAGATCTTGTTATTGTGGTTCAATGGTCCACGTTTTTGAGTGCATATATTACAATAACTTGTCAGAAAAGGAGCAAATGGCTGCTCGTTCATGTGGTGGATCTTGCCATAGGTAATAAATGAATTATGCACTTTTATCTTGTTAATATTTTTTTGCATAACTTTTTTATTGATGATTTTTATCCCTGGTTCAACTCAAGGAACCTTTTATTTTGACTTTGCATATGATTTCTGTTGTTGATTGTGTGCTTCAGTTTGTTTTTGCCTTTCATTTTCTTTGTGAGAAGTCAAACCAAGACAAGGCTGTAAAGATAAGTGTTGCACATATGAGTGACCTGCATATTTTTTACTGACACAGTTGCAATCTCTTAAATATTCTATGCTAAGCTAGGTTCACGCCTAGGTGCTCACCTGAATGAACAAAGGCGAGATGCTATAAATTAAAAAAAAATTATATGTAATATTATATTATATTATATAAATCTAAAATATATATCTTTCTAGTTAAGATTAGATCATTAAAAAATCAAAAGAAATATAAACTACCATAAAATG